GCTAAAGCAGTACTACAGTTAGAAACTGTCAACACCTGGGACCCTCGACCAGCAGCACCCGCGCTCGGTCAACGAGGAAGAACGTCCAATTTCGTATAAGGCTAAGGTACAAGCCCGACGTACGACCAAAATAGCACAGCATCGCGCGGTAAACGATGACGATCGATAGTGCCCGACGTGGACAGTTGTACCGAGCCCCACCGTCGTTGTACCCATAAGGCAGAACACCCAACTCGCGATGGGCAGTTCACGCCAAGGGCGAATCGTCCCTAACGGGCTCCACGCCCGACTGAGCAACCTCGCTCCAAAATGCCCGACATTCCATCAAGAATAACGGGCCATCTACAAGGGTCAAAAGAAAATCTCTCCCCTCGAGCGCAACACTTAGGTGGTTCTGGCCAATCGAAAGAGGGCCGGGAACGAGTACAAACGGAGTCGAGCATATTCGCTCGCCAAATCAAAGCCACTTACAGGCACTCCTCGGGCCCGTGGCTTAGGCTAAATTCATGCAAGCATATGATTTCAAACAAGGGCAAAAATCCAAAATGTAAAACAACATTGATATAAATGCCCGAAGGCGACAAAACAATAGTAAACCGACCAAGAAGGCCGGCGATGTTCATAACATACAATAAACGGGCACGCAGGCCCAAAGAATACAAATATCAAGGGCACGCAGGCCCACTATCCTACTCAGACTTCCACGGAATCATCATTGTCGGCGTTCGGAGAGTCGGGTGGAGGAACGATCACGCCATCTACAATCCGGTGTGTGTGACCGATACCCTCAGTGACCAGGCCAGGATTTAGCAAGGAGAGTTGATTGACCGCAGAATTGAACCCGTCCTCCAGGGCACCGACGCAGTCCACCTCGAGGAGCCGGATGTGGGCGACCAGATCCATCCGACTCTTCAAAGCTACTATGTCCTCGGGCTCATCTTCGGCAGGTTGCAGGTCAACATTCTTTTCCTCGACCTGTTTACCCAAGCGTTCGACTTCGGCCGCCAGGCGATCCCTGTCTGCCCGAAGAAGCTCCCCTTCCTCAGTCAACTTCCCCGACTTCTCCTTCTCCAGGGTCAACATCTCCCTCTCAGCATCGAGCATCGCGGTCTGCTCTCGGAACATCCCCTCGGAGCATTCCAGAGCGACCTTCAATTTCCGCGAGCTCGCGGTCAGCGCCGCCTTCTCCCGCTCGAGCTCTTCAACATGGGCAGAATCCCCTCCATCCTCGGATAGCACCAAAGCCATTTCGGCCATTTTTACCAGCCCATCCACGCTGGCGGCCAGATACGCCTTCCTTTCCTCTTTACTCATCTTTTTTATGGCCTCAGCTTCATGGGCAACCACTGTCGGGGGGAATCGCTCGAAAAAGCCCGCCTCTTCGAAACAAGGGGGGAAGGCAAAAGATCTAACAGCGCCGGCGTCCTCGCCGACAGTCGGACCACCTTCCACACGGGTCCTCTTCCTCTGCGTCAAAACGGCACTGGGGTCGATCTCCTCGACCTCTGGATCCGACGCGGGTCCCGAGCTCGACGGCGAGTCCACCCTCACCGGCTGAGGAACATTTGGACCGGGTGGGGGACCCATCCTCGTCGCCTGTGGGGCCTTCACGACCCTCCTGCCCCGCCTCTGGTCGCAGGATAATTTCAAGAGCCTTTCATGTCGGCTAGCCATCGTACCTGCACGAAATAAAGGAAAAGTCAGTATCGAGCAAACTTCACGAGTAAATGACGAATAAAGAATTTCAAGCAAACAACCTAACAGGCGGGCAGCCTGCCTGTAAGTCGGACACTCCACCAGCGCCTTGGTGTCGATCGGACGGGACTCGAACGTCGGGTAACCATCTTTATCCAGGATATCATCCCCTTCCCGCGTAACCCATCGTGCGGGATGGAAACTGTCGACAAACCGGCAAAGAGCGTCGTACGCCCGCTCATCTTCCGAGCACATGTCCCCGACGGTGGTATGGTAATAACCGGTCCCATGCTCGTAATGTCGGGACATCCAGTACACCGGGATTTTAGCCCTACGACCCAACACAGGGCTCCCATCGTCGCTCATCATCGTTTCCCCATCATCGTCGCTCACTGGCCCCTCCTCCTCGAAAAGGGAATTTAAAGCAGGTTCGGTAACTGGCCGTACCACGTACCACTTGTCTTTAAACCCCCTCACGGAGTCCATATACATCTTAAAGAGTCTCCTCGACTGCTTCAGGGAGACCCAGCTATGTTTCCCTCCTCGGGACTGACGCTGCAGGTGAAATACCCGAAAGAAAAGAGGGATGGTCGCCCCTATCCTCAGGTAGCGACACGTCAACTCAAACGCCCGGATGAAGGCGAGAGAGTTTGGGTGTAGCTGGGACGGGGCCAGCTCCAAGTGCATAAAGACCCCGGCCTGAAAATCAGTGAATGGCAGCCGCAGCCCTAGGTCTTTGAACGCGATCTCATACATCGCGAGAATGTAATTCGGATAGACCGAGCAAATCCTTGCCCGGGTTGACGGAACCATAACTACAAAGTTTTTCTGGAAGCCGGGCTGGTCTTGACCCTCTTCAACGACATCGAATGGATGTCGGTCGTCCCGGCTGTATATTGACGCTATCCCCCGCGGCTCGACGCCCACCCATTCCAGTAAAGGGTCGGTCACGGTATCAATCAAGGTGACCGACTCGTCGGCACTCTGTTCGTCACGGTCGCGGCGTCCGGAAGAGCTCGGCTCGTCCGCCATGGTTACCTGCAGAGCACGGGAAACCAATCAGTTTAGCACGAAGTCCTACGCTCGACAAAATCATGTCGTCCCATACACGACTACATAAGTCCATTTTCCACGAATGGTTGCCTCCCCGACGTCCTGAACCCGGTGTTCTTCCTCAAACCAACTGCGCGGCCACTCTGCAAGCATGTCGACCCGAGGTATGAACATGGCGAGCCGCACCATGAAGCCCACGGCCAAGACCATGAACATACCGGGCGCGATCATGAATCAGGCGCCCTGGATCATGAAGACCCCGGGCAGCTCTGAAGTTTATCACCTAAACTATGAATGTGCCGGTCACAAACATGCGTTTGCCGGTCCTAGACATGAATGTGTCGGGCTAAGCACGAGTTTACCGGGCTAATCCCACGCGCACGGTCCTAAAACATCTACAAACGCCAGAAATCATGCATTCTAAACGGTAAAATGAAGAAGGTAGATCACTTACTTGGATCAAAGAGTGGGATCTGGCTACGAAATGGAAGAACCTGTGACGAGAAGTCGCAACTGGAGAAAGTCTGGAAGAGCAACAGCAGAGAGAGCACAGAGAGCAGAAAACGTATTATGGGGCTCAAGGTTCCTATTTATAGTGATGACGTGGGATACCAAACGTCACCTCGGGCAACCACGGACTCCATCTCCTCGACGCGCTGCTCCCAACGCAATGATGGCCCTACCCCCATAGGGTGGCGGCACAGTTCCCGAAAGATACCTCGTGTGCTCGACCGACGCGCCCGGTAAGGATCCTTCGCGCATCCACCACCGAGGAAGTCTCCGAGCACGACACGGGGAGGCCCCTCGAGGGCCCACACCTCTATCCCGGGCACGAGACCTCAACGAGGGAATAACTTGGGCTCAAGTCATGGCTCCTCGCAAAGGAACCACGACTTGGGGGGCTCCTGTTCTGGACTGGGCCCGACAGGCCCAAAAGCATTACTAAGGCCCAATCCAAAGGGACTTACTGAGGACCACGCCGAGCAAAGGGGTCACATCCGTGCCCGACATCCTGACGTCCAGCTCGACATCTCGTTGTCCAGCTCCACCTCCTGACGTCCAGCTCGACACCCTGCCGTCCAGCTCCACGTCCTGACGTCCAGCTCGACACCCTGCTGTCCAGCTCGATGTTGTCTCGAGCATCCCAACTGGGGCAGACTCAGTCCACCGTTCCCCCAACGATACTCCGGAAAGACCGCGTCTTCGTCCGCCCGCACTTCACGCAGCACATCCAGGAAGGGGACCACGTGCGGGTCCCCATTACCCACGTAGAACCTGGCAGTTCCTCAATTGGGCCAAATCCGCCCGGCCCAATGAAGGGACCTTGGCCCAGCGCTGGGGGCTATAAATACCCTATATTTCCAGAGGGTCAGGTATTCATCATTCTAACCTCAACTTACTATTATCTGCTCGTACTCCTACTTACTTTAGCATCGGAGTGCCTTGCAGGTACCCCCCCCACCTCGTTCAAAAAAGCTTTCTGCTCGGAGCCAGCCGTGACGGTCCATTTCTGATCCGGTCAGATCAGTATGACATGCATAATTATTAAGTTTTCAATATATTAGCTAAGATGTTTTTTTTTTAGAAATAGATGTTGATTTTAAGAAAATGAAGAATTTGATTAATGTATACGTGTGTCAAGTTTATGATTTAACTATTAAAATCGATCAATATAAGAGTCTATATAATGTAAACAGTGAGAAAGTTCGGTGTTAATAATTTACGCATTACTATTTTATGTATTGTGATGTTTTATGCAATGTTATTGTTATGGTTGGTTTTGTGTAAATTATAAATTGAATTCTTTTAGTAATTAATTTTTAAATAGGATTAGGATGATATGAATTCTTTTAGTTCTATTATGCATTATTAAAAAAATTTCTTTATGGACGTCTTTGGCAATAATTAAATTTTTTCTAAATTATGTATTAAATCAAATTGTGAAATTAAATAAATAAAAAATTAGCGGGCATGCCCGTTAATCCGCCAATTCGTTAGTAAACAAAACATAATTGACTTTTGAGCTCAGACCTCTATATTGGCCCATCCCGCTCCACTTTTAGACCAATTTAAACGAGACAAACCTAAATAAAACGGACCGTCCACTTTATCACCCGTATAAAACAATGAATTAAAATTCAAAATCGATTCCCTTTTTAAACCATTCTGACCCAGAACTTTTACTTCAATACATACATCAATAGGGTTTGTACAAAACTTAAGCTAAAAACTCGTATTACTAGGTTGATGTGATGATGGTTAGTATTTGAATTTTAGTTGAAGTATTTATTTATTTATATTTCTTTATAAAATACTAATTTTTATTATTAATCATAATTTTATTCTACTTTATTTGATTAAAATCTATATAAATTAAAATTTATCTATATTAAAATTAGACGATACAACTATTTAACTTCTCATATACTATAAGTATAGGTCTTAGAGATTAAATTTAACAATCAAGAATAATTTCAGACTAGACCATTATTTTAAAAAAACCAAAAATATTCATCTATTCATATAAATGATAAATATTCTATCCAGCTTTTGATACCGCCTTATTTTGAGAACATCGCGTAACAGCTTTATTATAATTCCATCATCACCGTCAAATGTTACACCGTTGGCGATATCACAACCGTTAATCATGATCCTACCTTCTATATAAACCTCCTCAACCCTCATTGCTTAATACCGAAAACAACTGGTTATATCTTTCTCTCGGTTGTTCTTCTTTTTTGGCTCTTGATCCTTCCTATCTTCTACATAAACCCCATCAACCCTCTTCTTTTTTGGTTTGATGAATTGAATTCCGAAAATAGCTGGTTTTACGTCTTTCTCTCGTCAGGGTTTGCTCATTTTTGATTTGATTCTGAGATCGTGATACGCTTTTTCGATTTGATTTGATTCTAAGATTGTTAGGGATTTGCGTATTGATACGCTTTTCCGAATGGTATCTATGGGGATTTGCGTATCAAATATGAAGAATTTTTGATATAATTCTTGATGGAATAATCAAAAGATATTTGTCTAATCTCCAGTAGAACAATATGATTTTTGATTTCTTGATTTCCAAATTGTTTACGTGATGTCTTGATCTCAGGGTTTGCTGATGTTGTTTTCTTTATGATATTCCTAAAAAGATACCTTCTTTGATACAGTGTCCCAAAGACAGCTCTGTACTGGATTGGAACGAATCATCAGCTTTTGCAGGCTGTTCCTACCAATGATGCCATTTTATATGTGTGTTTTCGGTGTAACTCATGGCATGTAAACTCATTGTTTCCATTCAACTTCTATCTTGTCTTCGTTTTGGGATAGATGATACAGTGGAGAAGTGTAAATATTTGTCACTAAGAACAAATAACAACCAACAACACTACATATAAAGCCAATTTTTTCAAATTTATTTCTTTGCTTTGATGTCAAGACATTCAAATTAAACCCAGAACATCTTTTGTGCAGTGCTGTTTGTCAAATTAATAACCTTCATTGCCAGACAGCCTCGAGTTTTGATTTGGTCATCTCCTGTAAATTCCTTTCGTTTCATAACTGAGTTATAGATCATATATTTATTGATTTGTTACTTACTGTTTGGTGTTGCAGGAGAGGAATTCTTTCAGTTTCTTTATTCTAAAATATGATTGTGTTCTGTTCAATTTTCTCTTGTTTCTTGATTCCTTGATTCAGTGGCCAGATTTTCTTATTTCTTATGTTCTATAACTTTTACATTCAATTCTCCATTTAATAATTAAGAGATGCATTCATCTGTTACACTGCAAGCTGAAGTTTGAATATCCATAATGTCGTGATACAACAGACAACAATAACTCAAGATAACTACATCATCATCTTTTGAAGGTTGTGTCGTATACTTCATAATCCATACTGTTGTTAGGCCTTAATTTGGTCATTTTGATTTAGACTCTTCACATTTTTGTCTTTTTCTCATACTCAATATCTACTCTTATCAGTTCCTTATGATTTACTACAGAACCTGTGACAAGAAGATATTCACATCAGGAATGTGAGGTTGAGGAATTTCAGACAACGTATTTTGACACTTGTTCTGGTTGATTTGCCATGTTATAATTATTTTTCCTATTTTTTTTTTGTTAGTTTCTTTGCGTTCACTTTTTTTTGATGGCATGTCTTGCTATAGTTGGAGTTTCTGTGTTTCTGCATGAGGAACGTGAATATGAAGCATAAAAAATCAGCACATCTTAGGGATGTTGAGGAATTTCAGACAACTTGGTTTGACACTCTTTTGTTTGGGTTTATTTGCCAAGTTATAATTATTTCCCCTACTTGTCAATTATTTACTTGTCAAACGTGTCTTAAGTAAGTATACGAATAACAATAAAGTATAAGCATACAAAATATAGAGGAGGTCTTAGGGAGGTTAAGGAATTTCAGAAAACCTGGTTTGGCACGCTATTGTTCGGGTAAATTTGCCTTGTTATAATTATTTCCCATATTTTCATGTGGTGATTTCTTCTTTGATTGAATTCTCCATGATTAATTTTTTCTATTCTTTCATGAGTTTTATGCAGTGGGTGTCACAAAAGGATATTACATGGACATGTCAAAAATTATCAACCACTTTTAAAGTTGTTGTGGACATTATTGAGGGAGAATTTCTTTGTACATCTCTTAGGGGTGGGAAAAATCCCTGAAAATTCGAAAATACTCTTCGGAGATGTATCTTCGGATGCACCTCAAATCAAGATGTTCGGAGATGCATCTTCAAAAGCACTCAAAATTATCAAATTTTAGGATGAATTGGAGATGCACTTTCAAAATTAAAAAAAAAAACAATCAGGGAATGTTTCTGATTGTTTTAGGCTTTGTTCACAGCTAGCATCACCATCAAATTCGTATCAAGCCAAATCATGTGCAAAAAAGATTGAAATGAATCAAATTTGGAAAGGTTTAATGGTGGAATCAAATCCAATTAATGTGCATTGATATGGAGAGATTTGGACCATGATTCTTACTCTAATGCAAAGCACAATACACAAGGAAGCTAAGGCATACGAAATCAGGATTGGAAATTGTTGAGAGAGGCAGAACAAGAATTGAAAAATTCACAAAAAAGTGAGAGATCAAAGTCCAAGTTAGAGGCCGTTTTAGGACACGAGAGTGGTCTCAATCGCTTCCTGACCATTCACACAAGCTACCTGGATCCAAAGCAAGCATTTTCAGACGTCCAAGCGCCCTGTAAGTCTCACGTAATATAGCTCTGTACTTGATTTCGATTTGAAGCATTCTGGCATCCATTGAACAAACTAATGGTACATTCGTGATCACAAGAACATGTCCAACCTTTTTGCATTGTTTAATTTCATTTATATGCTATGTATGAAGAACCACCATTGTTAAGGTTCGATTCGTGTTTTTTGGGTTTTTTGTTTCACACACAATTGAGATACAAGAAGAACATGGTCTTGATCAGGAGGCAATGACAAATCAAACCATGTTCTTGAAATGGATTTATATGGCTTGGAGAAGATTTTAGCATAGGCCTGCGCTTTTAGCTGCGAATTCAAATCCGCAGGTATTTTTGTTACAGGTTTGAGGACAGGGACAATGAGGTGTCTCCCGTTCATTGGTGGATTCAAATGTTACGCGCGTTTTTATTTTATTTTCTGGCAATGATTTTGTTTTTTATATAATATATATCTTTTGTATTATTATAATAAATCCAGCAGCGTGTCCCAGTGGTCAATATGTCAGTTTCCAAGCCGTTAGGGGGCTGGAGGTCAAGGGTTCGATCCCTGCCTCCAGCACTTTGTATTTTCTTATTTGTTTACAGATATCACATGCGCGCGTTGGCTTGTTATCCACCATACATCCTTATCCAAATTGCTATCAGCACCACCTAATCAGGTCCAAACTCCTCTCTTTATTTATTTTGATTGTTTTATTATTTTTATTTAATTTTTATAATCAATCAAAATTCTATTTTTTTATTAAATAAAATCACAAAAAATATTTTTTATTTCAAATTAAATTTTAATCTTTTATTTTTTTTAATAAATTTATTAATTAATTAGGTTTTAATTAGAAAACTTTAATTCCTTTTATAAAATAAATAAAATTAATTAAACTTAACTAGTTTTTAATCATTAATTTAATTATTATTATTTCTTTTCTAAATAATCAAAAACTCCAAAAAATAATTTATTTTTCATTTAATTAATTAATTTAATTTAATTTAGTAATTAATTTAGGTTTAATTTCTTTTTTAACATAAAAACAACAAAAAGATATCTTCTTTAACCAAAAGGGTCAAAACCCTAATCATGCGTCTGATTTAATTTTTGTGTCGCGATTTACTTTTTCATTCAATAATGTACCTGTTCCCAGATTGTAATAGTTAAATAGGACTTTTAATTATTTTTATTGCTTTACTTTATTTTTCAAAAGGGTTTGTCTTTGGCGATGTAAATACGCCTTGTAATTTAAATTCCGCATTTTATTTCCGCAAATTATAACTGTTAGATGTTTGATAATAGGGTTTGCATGACAAGACTAAATGCGTAATCTTAAAATCAAATTAGATCACCTTTAACATGTACAAAGATAAAAAATAACTGAAAACGACACACTCGCACATGCGCACTCTTAGGGTACACCCCACTTGGTTGCCTTCGTAAACGGTCATTGAGTATGGGTCGTTTTAGAGGTTATCCTCTTGTCTAAAAGATCATAATTGCCTCGAAACGATTGCCTCGGATATTGTTGCCTCAAACAAATGATCTAAGACATTAGGGTTACCGCTAAGGCGTCTTAACATTGCTTTAGTGACCACATGTCCCTCATTCGAATTGACCCTCAAACTCCAACGACGGTGCTACCCACTCATTAATAGTGAGATAGCATTGTCTAAAGGACATTATTAGTATAGAACGATTCTTTTTTCGAGTAGGTAGATGGTTCTTAGATACTTGCTCTTTCAAAAAAACAAAACCTTTTTCACACTTACACTCATTTTCGAACAAAGTTTTCAAAAACACTTCATACGCTCTTGAGGACAGAAACAAGAGTTAAATCGAAGTTTCAAATAAAAACTTTTTCAAACCCACAAGCACAAAGAAATCAATTTTGAAAACAATTGAGCAAGTACCTAAGAGTCCGTGGATAACCACAGATAGAAAGGGTACTAATACCTTCCCTTTCTATAATCTACCCCCGAACCCGAGAAACATCTCGAAAAAGGAATTTTTCTATGCTTTTTTCCTTTCCTTGTTGGATAAAATAAAAGTTGGTGGCGACCCTTGCTTACTGCGACATTTTGAGAAAACAAACGCAAAACGCAAACCAGCATTCCAAAAAAACAGTCAGTTCTTTCCACCGTATCACAGAACTGGCGACTTTGCTGGGGAATTAATAAGTGGGGTGTACCTTAGGATTAGTTCATCATAATGTTTTCAATTGTTTGATCTGTATGCTTTATCTTTGTGGGCTTGAATCGGAGTTACTATAGATCCTAACACAGATCTGGGGGATACCTTTTAGGTAAGTAGCAATAAACTGTGAGGGAACTGTACGGCATAGACCGATACAGTTAAAGCTTTAGCTACGTTGGTGTGACACTTTAGTTTGTACCGATATCCCTTGTGGCGCAACGAGGAGAATATGGGTCTTCTAAGGGGTCATTAAGCACCAACTGAACTTAACACCTATAATTGACCAACTTGGCCATAGAACAGTAGCAGTATGCTACACTCATTGAGACCAAACTCTCGCGATGATTCCGGCCACAAGAAAAGGTTGCTAAACTGAAATTATGACCGATCGAGAGTGGTCAGTGATATTGAGATCCTCTAGAACCCGATTACTATTTCTAGGACAGGTTTGAACCAACTGAACTGAAAAAGGGTAGTACCTAGACTCCTTACCAGCCTGAAATCTAAGGGCTATATGTGTGACTTGTGTGCCCTTACCATGTTTGCTATTTGTGGATACTTGCGGTGTATTTTCTATCATGACATCATGACATTGCATGCATCTTGCATTGGACTAACCTATTTCAAAGGCAGGAGGGATTCATCTTTGTTCTGTTTTGTAGGTCATGGCACCCATGTTTTGTAGAGGTTTGATCTGGTTCTTGCTGGTTTTGATCTTGGAGTTTGCTGTTCTTATTTTAATGGTCTTGTTTGGGGTTTAATCGATTGTTTTCCAATTCTCTTTTGATAATACATATTGATTTTTTATATAATGCTCCATTTGATAATTGTTCAATCCTATTAAAATTACCAGTAATGTAGCGAGCCGATTTTTAGATATCTGGAGCAGTTTGCAGTTCTTGATTACAATAGATAAGGATACATTCTTTATTATTTTTATTTCTGGACTTGATCACAAGACATAAAAATTCGAATTCTAGACCTTTTTTTTTGCAGCTTGAGTTTTGATTTGATGATTTCTTTTAGAATCTTTTTTCAATAATTCTTTTTCTCTTTTGAAACCATATTGTTCTTGATCTTTTATTTCCTCTGGTCTTGCAGGAAAGGTAGTTTGAGCATATTATTCATCATGTTTTGTATTTTGATTTCCGTAACTCTTTGAATCAATTTTTCATTTAATAATTAAGAGATTGATTTATCTGTTTTGATATCCATAATGTCTTGATACAACAGACAGCAATGGAGAATAATTCCAGATCAATTTTTTTCAAATGGGTAATTTTTTTTACTATTTCTATTTTTGTCTTGATACAACATATCGGAATTGAGAATAACTCCAGATAGTGTAATCAATTTTTTCAAGAATGCAGAATAACTCCAGATAGTGTAATCAATTTTTTTCAAAGTGTAATTTTTTTACTATTTCCATTTTTGGTCTTTATTTGCAATACATATAAATTGAATTTTGAATGTGATTGTCGAACTAATAATCTTTTTCATAGGATGGAGTTTTGGTGTGAACTTTCTATCTTATCGTATTGCAGATTGATATCAAATAATGGTATTTTTTTTTTGTATTTATCACCTTACTTGAATTGCTAATTGAAACATTTATTGTTTTCTGTTATCCACCAATTGTGTTTTGTAACGATAGAATTTAGTGTAGTATCAAGTACTGTGTAATCAAGAAATCAGGTTTTTTATATACTCTTCTTAGATTGTGAATTGTTTTTCATTTCATTTCTTTTATATATAGTTTTATTGTCATGTTTTCTTGATTTACTCCTTTATGTCTCGTGGGTGTTACATGTGCGAGATACGTATACTTCATAATCCATATTGTTGCTAGCTGTTCGTCAGTTCCTTGTGATTTGCTATGGAGCCCGTGACTGGAAGACATTTGGGTTGATTTTGTATCTTATTATTATTTCTTCTATTTTCTTGTCAGTTGTGTTATATAAGTATAATAGGAAGAGTTTTCTTCGCCTTCGATACTTTTCTTTCGATGACATGTCTTGTTATAGTTGGAGTTTTGGTGTTTCTGCATGAGGAACGCAAATATGAAGCATAAGAAATATAGAGTAAATCTTCGGGAGGTTAAGGAATTTTGGACAACCTGGTTTGGCACACTTACTTGTTTGGGTTGATTTGCCTGGTTAATTAAGTATAAGAATAAGAATTTTATTTCCCAAATATATGTCTTACAGAATCTGCAATATGCTTTGTTGTGCTTTCATGTCGTGATCTTTGATTGAATTCTTCACTATTAGTTTTTTTGATTCTGTCATGAGTTCTATGTGGTGGGCGTCACAGTGGGATATGGTAAGTTCTTCGTGGCAAAAATTATCAACAACTTGTGTTTGCTTAGGTTTTACAGGGGATTTTGAAAGCTGTGTTAAGGACATGCTTAGAGCGCCCTTGGATTTAACGGTTCATTAGTTTCTTTTCTATAGCAATGTAATGTGCTAATGTTGATTTTGGTGTTCAATTGTTTTCAGAATTACAAATGTAATCATTAGGAGATCTGCGGTATATATGATTTTATAGTTCATATCCATTTCTTTGGTATATATGATTTTATAGTTCATATCCATCTCTTTCTTGGCTGATCGAATATGTGTATTGATATGCTTTTCTGGTTGTAGCAATCGCGAGTTTCAGAGTTCTTTTGACTCTTTTATGGATCAATTATCAATTTTTTTATAGAATTCTTCATTGGATAATCAAGATATTAGTTTATCTGTTTTGCGGTGATATGGAAACTTTGATGCAATGGATAAGAAATGAGTGATTTCTCTAGTAAAATCTTTTCGTTCAATATCTAGTAGAACAATAAGATTTTGATTTATTGATTCTAAAGCTTTTCAGATTGTTTACTCCATGTTGGCTTGATGTCAGGGTTTGCTGATATTGTTTTCTTATGGATTTGTGTATTCTCAGATTGTCGACCTCAATAATTTATCATAATCTCACTTCTGCTTACTCTTCTTTTGCGAATGGGTTACCATGAAACACATGACACTGACTCCACACGTTTTTCATTTGGTAATGGAGAGGAGGGGAATTTGGGACAACATATGTTTTGTTTGTTCTGATGATTTATAGGGGACAACTTAATTTTTTTTAAATCTTTGTTGGGAGTAGAGAAGTTTTCCATAATCTTCCATTTTGTTGTTTTTATTTGTGATTTATGATGATTATGATAATCATAAAAATATACCTTCTTTGATTCAGTGGCCCAACGACTGCTCTGTACATGATTTTGTTGTGGTGTTTTCCGTGGAATTTGGGATAGTTGTCCTGCTATGGTTAGAGTTGTGTTTTTGTAAACCATACAAGATTCTAGTACACCTCTTTTGCTCTCCTAAATGGTACCCGACACAGTGAAGAAGTGTAAATATTTGTCACCAAGTAAAGATAAGAACCAACAACACTGCAAATGATACCAATTTTTTAATGATTAGTTTTATGTTATATTTTTTTCTTTGCTTTGATGTCAAGACCTTCAAACTAAACTCAACATCTTTTCTGCATTGTGGTTTGTCAAATTAATAACCTTCATTGCAAGACAGTCTCTAGAGTTTTGATTTGGTCATCTCTTGTAAATTATGTTCGTTTAATAACTCTATAGATCATATATTTGTTGATTTGTTATCTACTGCTTGTTGCAGGAGAGAGGAATTCTTTCGATTTCTTGATTCTAAAGTTTGCTTGTGTTGCGTTTCTTGATTCTTTGGCCAGATTCTCTTGATTTCTTGTGTTGTACTTTCTCTTCTTTCTTAACTTAAGGCATTAATAATTTGCATATTGAAATTATTAATGATTTCACATTGTATAACTTTTAGATTCAATTCTTCATTTAATAATTAAGAGATACATTTATCCGGTTTGTTGCAAGCTGAGAAGTTTGGATATCTATAATGCCTCGATACAACAGACACGAACTGAGAATAACAAGATAACTACATCAATTTTTTTCAATGGATTATTTCTTACTATTTTTAATGTTGGGCTTTGATTGTATGCAGCGAGTCTGTTGAACTAATAAATTCCCACCTTCATAGTATGGAGCTTAGCATTTTGATTTTTGATTTGGTGAGACTTCTAATAAATTCTTCTCATTTTCAATGTTTCTTTATCGATTATGAAATCGTATCTTCCTTGATTTGGTATTTTCTTTGGTTGCAGGATATCTAATATGTGAACACGTGATTTCTTTTAGGTTTGATTTGGTTGTCGTTTGTTTTAACCTTGGAAGTTATTGTTTACTATTAATTTGTTGGAAGCACTTATCAGCAACTTGCTGTAGTTTTGGTCTGAATTTTTTATCTTAAGGTTTTGCTCATATTTGTTTGCTTCGTGATGACTCAACTTCATGGTTTGCTTTTTTTGTTTTCTTGATACGCTCTTAAGAGGAATATTGTTAGGGATTTGCGTATTGATATACTTTCTAGGATTGTAACTATCGCTGAGTTTCAGAGTTTTTTCGTCTCTTCTTTTATGGATCAATTAGCAAGAATTTTTTTGATATAGTTCTTCATTAGATAATCAAAATATTGGTTTATCTGTTTTGCGGCGATTTGGGATTCTTCCTGAACGGCTTTAGAGAAATTAAGTTTCTTCAATTAATTGTTCTTAATTATTTTTATTTCTCAGACATATGAATTGAATTGTGAACATTTTTTTTTAGTAAAATCTTTTCGCGTTCAATTTCCAGTAGAACAATATGATTTTGATTTTTTAATTGTCAACTTTTTTAGATTTTTTGCTCCTCCAGTAGAACAATATGATTTTGATTTTTCGATTCTCAGCTTTTTTAGATTTTTTGCTCCGCAAATGCCTTTTTTAAATTTTATTTCTTGCTTTGATAGCAAAACATTCAAATTGAATTTTTGAACATCTTTTCTTTAAGGATTATAGAATAGATTATATATTTATTGATTTGTTACTTAGTATTTGGTATTGCAGGAGAGGAATTATTTCTATTTCTTGATTCTTTCTTTCATTTCTTGATTCCTCGACTTAAGTGTTAGCTAGTTTTCATTTTTGTATCTGCTAAAGGAGATCACTAATAACTTTAATATGCTTTTGTTTCATTTAATAATCAAGAGATGTATAATAGGTTCAATTTAGTATCTAAGTACAGAAAATAGAAAGTACATAAAATATGAGGAGAAAGGAATGACTTTTATTGATAATACTAGAGTTCAAACGAGAACTAGTACAAACAAGTGCAGAAACTTGCAGAAAGTTGTAGAAAAATAGAAACCATAAAGAGGCTCTTAGAGAGGCCTTATCTCTCCCATGAGGATATTCTCCACTCAATTTCTGCGTACCAGAAAGAGTGCTAGCCCCCAATCATTTATTCCAACTTTTCTAGATTCTCTTTCCACTAGATAGCTGCCAAATGGCCTAGCCCATGTGCAGCATTAACTAATTCATTTTGTCCTATTTACTCTCCCTTATTTGAATTTCCTCTCATAAAACTTTCCATACCTACCAACTTTCTCTCCTTCAAAACCTTCCTTGACCTCAAGGAAAAATATTGGAAACTCTGCTTGTAACCTTTTAGCTAATTCTCAAGAATTCTTAAATTATGACAGATCCTTCCATTTCACCAAAACTTCCCATTCTCCCTGTTCATTCCTCTTATAATCCATCCCCCTCTCAAGTGTAGGTTTTAAATGCCACTCTTTGTTGATGCTAACTGGAAATGGTTGTGGTGTAGCAGTAGGTACCACAACTTTTTTTGATAAGGAAGCATGGAACACATGATGTACTCTTGTGTCTTCAGGCAACTTGAGCTTGTATAGCTTCAATCTTTTGGATCACTTTATAAGGCCTATAGTATCTGTGACTAAGCTTTTGATTAAGTCTTTTAGCTAACCTTTTCATCTTGTAAGGTTGGATTTTCAAGTATACCATATCTCCTACATCGTAGACCACTTCTCTTTTATGCTTATTGGCTTGATTTCTCATCACACCTTAAGCTTTCAATAGTTTCTCTTTCAGCTCCTTGATCATCAGGTTCTTTTCCATGGTCAATTTATTGACCTCATTTACAACAGATCCAGGGGTATTCTTTCTAATAAGTACTGGAGGAACTCTCCCATATAGGGCCTCAAAAGGAGTGGTTTTCAAAGATGCATGATAGTTGGTATTGATAATTGGTATTGAATTAATATTATGCCCATGCCACCATTTAGGCCATTGCTTAGGTTTGAGCCCATTCACACACCTCAAGTAAGTTTCTAAACATCTATTCACCACCTCTGTTTGGCCATCAGACTAAGGATGGTAATAAGGATGGTAAGCATTATTGTACTTCAGTTTAGTCCCATCCAATTTGAATAATTTTGACCAGAAGTTGCTAAGAAATACCATATCCCTGTTAGAAAATATGGAATTAGGAAATCCATGTAGTCTGATCACTCTCAGAAGAAAAACTTCAGAAATACTCTTTGTTGTATAAGGGTGACTGATAGGGAAAAATGGGCATACTTGGTTAACCTATCCACTACCACCATGACAATATCTACCCCTTGTAACTTAGGTAACCCACCAATAAAGTCATAGATATGTCACTTCAAACTTGTGTTGGGATAGGTAAAGGTTGTAGTAACCTTCCTAGTGTCAAAGTCTGGTACTTATTTCTCTGGCATACTTCACAAGCTTACACATACTCCTGAATTTTCCTTCTCACGCCTTCCCAATAAACCACACTAGCAATCCTTTTGTAGGTTCTTAAGTAACTTGAATGTCCCCCAACTACAATATCATAGAATTCTTGGAGAATCCAAGAAATTCTGGGTGAATTTCTGAAAATGACCACTCTGCCTTCACGATACAACCTTCCTCTTTTTAGCTGGAACCCTTTATGGCTTATAAGATCTGATATTAAATCTTGCACAACACCCTTTAATCTATCATCTTTTTGAATTTCTTCCTCCAAACCTTCCCAGGCTTCACACTGAACTGTAGTAATGTATGCATACTGCATTTTCCTGGATAGTGAATCAACATCACTATTTTCTTCTCCTGGTTTGTACTTCACTTCAAAATCAAACCCTAAAAGTTTCGGTAACTATTTATGTTGTTCTCACCCCATAATTCTTTGTTCAGTGATAAACTTCAAACTTTTCTGGTCTGTGTGAATCTTGAAGTGCCTGCCTAGTAGATAAGGTCTCCATTTTTGAATTGCAATCACAATAACCATCAGCTCTCTCTCATAAATCGATTTATGCTGAGCCCTGTCTGAAAGTGTTTGGCTCATGTAACAAATAGGCTTTCCTTCTTGCATTAAGACAACTCTAATTCCCTGACCTGAAGTATCAGTTTCTACAATAAACTCCTTCTCAAAATCAGGCATAGCTAAAACAGGGACAATAGTCATAACTATTTTCAACTTCTCAAAAGCTTCTTGAGCTTCACTACTCCATTTAAACCCATCCTTCTTGATTAGTTGTGTTAGAGGCCAAGCAATTTTCCCATTATTCCTCACAAACTTCCTATAATAGCCAGTAATACCTAAAAATCCCCTCAATCCTTTCAAAATTTTCGGTATAGGCCAATTGAGCATATCTTCTACCTTCTTAGGATATGCGGATACTCCTTGTTCAGAAATGAAATGCTGTAGATATTCTATCTCTTTTTGGCTAAAAGAGCACTTTTTCTTGTTGGCATATATCTGCTGATCCTGCAGTACATGTAGAATTATGGTTAGGTGGCTTTTATGTTCTTCCCTGCTTCTACTGTAAGTCAAGATGTCATCAAAGAATACCAGATAATTTTTTTGTTGAGAAAAGGCCTCAGGATCTCATTCATCAGAGCTTGGAATGTAGATGGGGCATTTGACAAGCCAAAGGGCATTCACTAGATACTCATAGTGTCCCTCTTGAGTCCTAAAAGTTGTGTTCTTTATATCTTCTTTCTTCATTCTAATATGGTGGTATCCAGATTATAAATCCAACTTAGAAAAGACAACAACCCTTCTAGCTCATCTAGTAATTCCTCAATTACATGTATGGGAAATTTATTAGGAATAATCACCCTGTTTAATGCCCTGTAATCAGTATAGAACCTCCACCCTCCATCTTTTTTCTTAATAACTGAACTGGACTTGAGAAAGGACTGGTACTATGCCTAATAATATCAGCTTGCAACATCTCCTTCAATATCATCTCTATCTCATTTTTTTTGAAAAAATGGATACCTGTAAGGCCTTAAATTTGGTATAACAACTTCATTCTTAAGCCTAATAGCACGGCCATTCTCCCTTATAGGAGGAAGGCCCTTAGGTAAATTGAATACTCCTTAAAATTTACCTATGATACCTTCTAACTCAGTACAATCATCTTCTGGAGCAGTCTTCAAGGGTTGCACATAAAAACCTACCCCTTCATCACTCAAAGCTTTTATCATGGCTTTCATGGAGGCTTGCTGAGTACACAAGGCAGGATCGCCTTCTATTCTATATTTTTGTCCCCTTCTCCCATTTCAAATATAATTCTCCAAAGTTAGCTTCAATATCCCTTAAGCTGGCCAACCAATCCATCCATAACACCATATCAGTCCCTCCTAGATCCATCAAAAAGGAATGTTGGTGAAATTCCCTCCCTTGCATCTGAAATTCCAACCCTTCACTAATCCCTTGATAATTGACTCTCTCTTTATTCCCCACTTCAATCACATAAGGAGGGGTTTCTACCAGCTTCAATCCCATTTGTTCCACCAGTTTAACATCAATGAAATTACTGGTTGCTCCTGAATCAATTAGAGTCCTCATCTCCTTATCCTGCACAGTCACCTATACTTTAAATGATTTGTTAAAAGTGATTCCTTGTTTACTTTGCATTGACAGTTGTAGAGTTATGAATTCTCATTCTATCTCCACCAGTTCATTTGTTTGCACACCCCCCCTCCCTGTTTCCTCTTCCTAATCACTGCTATTCTCACATAATTTCAAACTCATATGATTGAGTTTACATATGTACTCCCTATTCCACTTGTCCCCACACTTAAAGCACAAACCCTTCTTGCTCCTCTCTTCCAGCTCTGTAGGATTTAATCTCCCACCCTTGTATTTTTCATTTCCTCCACCACTGACTTTTTCTCCTTGCTTCTTAGATCCCCAAAATTCTGCAAGATCTCTAATCCTCAAAGGTCCTCTATCTCTCCAAGAGCTACCCTTCTTATGAAGAACTTCATTCTTTTCTTCAATTAACAAAGCCCTATCCATTAATTCAGCTAGGCTTTGACTCTCATGGAGTTTGAGCTCAGCTTGAATCTCTTCTTGTAATCCATTCAAAAAATGGAATCCAGCATAATCATCTCCTCCCTTCTTAATGGAGCTACAAGCATTTCAAACTTCTCCATGTTTCAACAACTGACCTTTTTTGTTTCAAACTTAACAAAGGACCCATCGGGTTATAAAATAAACCCGGTTGAAATCTTCTCACCACAACCACCTTAAACTCTTCCCACAGCTTCAATGGTGCTTGCTCCTCCCTCAATTGATACCAGTTTAGAGCTTTGTCTTCCATGGCTAGTACAACTGCATCTAACTTGTCACACACCCTTACTCCGTTTAGGGGAAAATATCTCTCAATCTGAACGAGCCATCCATCTTCGTCTACTTCCCATAAAGCGAGGTCTATTTCCATCATTATGACGGTTGTTTCTGGGTCCGGATTAACGCGAAATCGTACTTCATACACTTCCTTCATCTTCGTCGTCGAATCTTCCATGATTCTGACCTGATCGGTCCTGAATCAGTTGTCCTATCTCCTCCACCGTGACTCGAGTTCTCGCTTGTTTCTCTAACACCAACGTTCAAATTTGCTCTATTGTCCCCTCAAATTGATTCATCCCCTGTTCGATAGTTTCAACTCATTTTTCCATAATTCTTCGAGTCACAACCATCCACTGCACAGACGAAACCAGACTCTGATACCAAATTGATATGTTCAATTTAGTATCTAAGTGTAGAAAATAGAAAGTACACAGAATATGAGGAGAAATGAATGCTTTTTATTGATAGTACCAGAGTTCAAACAGGATATGGTAGTACAAACAAGTGCAGAAAGTTGCAGAAAGTTGCAAAAAAATAAAAGCATAACGAGGCTCTTAGAGAGGCCTTATCTCTCACATGAGGATATTCCTCACTCAATTTCTGCGTACCAGAAAGAGTGCGAGCCCCCAATCATTTATTTCCACTTTCCTAGATTCTCTTTTCACTAGATAGCTGCTAGCTAGTCCATGTGCGACACTAACTAATTCATTTTGTCCTATTTCCTCTCTCTCTCTAAAACTTTCCATACCTACCAACTCATTTATCCGTTTCACAAAAAGTTGAGAAGTTTTGATATCCATAACATTTTGATAGAACAGACAAGAACGAAGAATAAACTTCTTCTTAGGATCGAGCTTAACTTTTTGATTTTTGATTTGATGACCGTGGATAAATTCTTTTCATTTTCAATATTTCTTTAGCAATTATGAAGGCATATCTTCTTTGATTTGGTATTTACTCTTTCGTGTTGCAGGGTATCTAATACTCCCTCCGTCCCAAAATATGATAAAAAAATAAAATCACATTTATTAAGAAAAGTACAAACATAATGATTTGATTTGTAGCTTTTATTGGAAAAAATGCATAAGAAGATGTAAAAACAATTCTAATTGGTTTATGGTTATAGAAAAGATGAGAGAGAAGGTAAATTAAATAAAATTGTATTTAATTTTACCTTGAAAAGAATGAAAGTTGATATTTTTTATTATATTTTAGGACAACAAAAATGTTTGTTTTTCTCTTATATTCTAGGACGGAGGGAGTATGTAAACACATGATTTCTTTTAGTTCTATCTTCCTCTTAGGTTTGATCTTCATGGTGAATTTTTTGGTTTCTTATTTCTTAGGTTTGATTTGGTTGTTGTTAGTTTTAATTTTGAAAGTTGTCGTTTACTATTATTTTGTCAGGGTTTTAAATGATTGTTCTTTTGCGTTAATTTTTGTTCTTGGTTGTTGTATTTTATTTGTTCGCCACACTTACTGGAAACTCGTCGGAATTTTGGTGTGAATTTTCTATCTTGATATATTGCAGATTGATATCAAATAATGGTAATTTTTTGTATTTATCACCTTATTTGAATTGCTAATTGAAACATGTGTAATCAAGAAATCAGGTTTTTTTCTTTACATTTTTCTTGGATAGTGAATTGTTTTCATTTCTTTTCTTTTAAATAGAATTGTTCTATTTTTTTTCTATTTACTTCTTTATGTCACTTAGTTGTTACATGTGAGAGATAAGTATTGATGTGCGATAAGAGATGGATTTTACCTTGTAGTTTTATTTTATGAAGCACCGAGACTTCTTAAAAAATGTGTGTTCGTGTCTGTGTTGGTATCAGACACCTACATCGATATTTATGATTATGTTGAATTTATTCATTTTTTTCAAATTATTAACGGTATTACTGTAGTGTCGAGGTCATATTTGAGGTGTTCGTGCTTACTAATTTTATTCCTTTATACTTGTAAAGTCAACCTTGGGGTTTTTTATATCATAAATACTACCATTGCAAAGGATTTTTGAGAAATTGGGAAAGCTTTCTGGGACTTTCTTTATATAACTATAATCTTCTGATACTATTTTTTAAAATAATTTTTATTTGTGATTTATGAAAATGATTATACTCATAAAAGACATCCTCTTCCTTGCAATGGTTAAAGTACTCCTCAAGATTATGAAGATAAAATTGTTATTTCATATAGGTATCTTGCAAATTGGATGTAAATTTGTTCCACAGAATCTTCACCTTTAGTGAGACATTCATGTACTCTATGTTCATCCTGGGATAAATTTTCAGATAAGTTTTCAAGATCAGTTGTTGTATTACACACTACAAAAATATATGTCCCCAGCGACATATATTAGCGACGTGCTTATCACGTGGGTAGTAGCGACGTGATAACCACGTCGCTAATATATTTTAATGATA